TGTATGTGGTGTTCTGAGCTGCCAACTAAAGGGATGAGTACAGACGCCAGATATTTGGAAACATTGTAAGTGACAGAGTTAATCATGCTAACGATTGGTCTTAAAGGTACACCTTGTTTGTGGATTTTAGGTAAACCATACAGACTAGGTGTGGCCTCCCCTGGGTACAGTCTGTGGTACAGAAAACGGTCAATATCCTTGTCCTGCTCCAAAATTTTCAGGCAATCTATCAATTTCTTCTTGTAGCCACTTCCTGGATCTCTTTTCAGAGGTTCATAAGTGTTTAAGTCACTAAGGAGTGTCATAACTTTCTCATGATAGTCTTTCTGGTTCAAAATCACTGTGCACCTTCCTTTGTCTGCCGGGAGAATGATGATGTTTTTGTCCTTGCTAAGAGTGGTGAGTGCATCCCTCTCCTCTCTACTGATGTTGCAAGGTGGTGGTTTGGCATTGTTGAGACAGGCTGAAACTTTGATTCTGAGCTGTTCTGCTTCACCCTCTTTCATTTTGTTGTTGCGGATGGCTGATTCTGTGGTTGTGATCATCTCCACCAGAGGAATTCTACTTGGTTCAACCACAAAGTTCAGTCCCCTGGCAAGAATCTCTGTCTCCGGCTGGGTGAGCTGTCTGTCAGATAAATTCTTCACCCACTTTTCTGTCTCCCTGACATGTAATGTCTTACACTGAATGTGTTGTTATTGGAATAGTGATGGTGTTGATGAGTTATTAGTAAGTTAAACTTGTTTTGTTGTCGAGTCTTGGACTTGACATGCTGTGCTAAGCGTGCCTGATCTGTACAGTCCAACACTTGCTGAAGTGTGGTCTGATCTAGACACATAGTTAGTTTCTGTTTAATGTGCTCTTCTTTGGCCTTCAAGGCCTCAATAGTAAAATTGGTCTGTCTCACCCGTTCATTCAGCAGCTGGGTCTGTGCCTTCTGAAGGATCTTGCTTGCCCGGTGCCCGCTGACCTAAGATTTTAGTTCCAGGCTGTTGGGAATGATGCCACTTTGTCGACATCTGAGGTTGAATCGCAAATGGTTCCTGTAGTCTGCCCTCTTCCTTGCTGTTTTCTCAAACTCTCTAACTAGTTTGAGGCAATCCTGGCCAAAGTGGTTCAAAATATCCTAATGCATGCTGCCTCAACAATGCCAAACCACCACCTTGCAACATCAGTAGAGAGGAGAGGGATGCACTCACCACTCTTAGCAAGGACAAAAACATCATCATTCTCCCAGCAGACAAAGGAAGGTGCACAGTGATTTTGAACCAGAAAGACTATCATGAGAAAGTTATGACACTCCTTAGTGACTTAAACACTTATGAACCTCTGAAAAGGGATCCAGGAAGTGGCTACAAGAAGAAATTGATAGATTGCCTGAACATTTTGGAGCAGGACAAGGATATTGACCATTTTCTGTACCACAGACTGTACCCAGGGGAGGCCACACCTAGTCTGTATGGTTTACCTAAAATCCACAAACAAGGTGTACCTTTAAGACCAATCGTTAGCATGATTAACTCTGTCACTTACAATGTTTCCAAATATCTGGCGTCTGTACTCATCCCTTTAGTTGGCAGCTCAGAACACCACATACAGAACACCATGGACTTTGTGGACAAGGTGAGGGATGTCATCATGGAGACTGATGAAACAATGGTCTCTTTTGATGTCACATCACTCTTTACGTGCATTCCTGTTGATGATGCAGTAGAGGTGGTCAGTTTAAAATTAAAATCAGACACCACTCTGAGCAGCAGGACCACACTTTCTACAGAACAACTGTGTCAACTCTTGAAACTGTGCCTGCAGTCAACCTACTTCACATATGGGGAGCAATATTATAGGCAGAAACATGGGTGTGCTATGGGGTCTCCAGTTTCTCCTATTGTTGCCAACCTGTACATGGAGGAGGTAGAAAAGAGAGCCTTGACGTCCTTTTCAGGGACACCACCAAGTCATTGGTTCAGGTATGTTGACGACACCTGGGTTAAAATCAAATCTCAGGAAGTCCAACATTTTACTGACCACATCAACTCTGTGGATAAATACATCAAGTTCACACGAGAAGATGTAAAAAATGGCAGGTTGGCTTTCTTGGACTGTGAGGTCTCAGTCTCTGATAGAGGACATTTGCAAACTGAGGTGTACCGCAAACCCACCCACACAGACCAGTATTTGCAGTTTGA